GTATATTAAGAAGTGCATCAATAAAAATCCTTAAACAATTACACCAACATTGAAAAAGTCATGGTGGGCAAGTGCCCCACCTTTAGGCTCACTAGATCCGCCTCTGCTTCCATTACTCATACAGTGAGTAAACTTGGGATATAAGCAATAAAAAGCCCCCAATGCTTAGGTTTGAAAGCTACCTTAAAAGAATTTTGTTCAGGGTCATGTATCACTAAACGAGGGCCATGCATTTTCCATTTATGAAGCAGAATCTTATTTTTCTTAAAAGTTGTGATTGCTTGTGTTGGCATAAGTGGTTTGCCAAAATCTATCGAATACGTCTTCTCCCATTTTTTGTCTGAATTTAACGACCATATCTCTTGCTTCTTGCCCTTCCACTCTGATATACTCAAATGGTCATTAAGGTTGCCTATAGCAACATCATGGACAGTGTTAATTGGTGTCTTCAGATTCACTTCAAAAGTTTCAGTGTGAAGATCAAAAGACACTATATGTCTTTTTGAATTGTACACTTGGCTTAACCAATGAAGTGATCCATCTACATATGTTGGATTATCATCATCCACTATTTCATAAGGAGAAGCAGTCACGTTCCTCCAAATGTTTGTTTGAAAAGAGAAAACCTCGCATGTAGTTATGTTGTCTAAACCCAAAGTTTTCGAATTATATAACCATACCAACTTGTATACTCCATTGACATTGTCTCTACCTAATCCAGGCAAGGGGAAATGTCCATTTACTAGACCAAGAAAAATGACTGTTACTTGTTAAATTCAGAACCAATGAAACTGAAAAGTTACTCATTATACAAAAACTGCATACGTGGTCTTCTTGAATTAAGTGAACATACCCCTTCGAATGTTCATATCTTGATGAAGTTTTTGAAACCTTGCCACAGGAAGACTTCGGAACCAGCTTATAGAAGGATTGATCACAGGATTACAATCCACGAAATCGGAGATGAATATTAGACCATCACAACTCTTAGTTACATTAATGGAAGAAATGTCTTCGAAAAAGAAATAACAAGGATTGTCGATAAAAACTGATGAGGTCAACGTCAATGTATTTACACAAATCTCAATGGGTGGCAGCCAATCTTCACGTCTACTCTGGAAAAAGAGGATGTTCGGATCATGAGATCGTTGATTACTTAGATGCCTCTCCTTAAAATATTGAGACATGATCGTTAATTTCCATTCTTTTGATAAACATTTAGATCTAATAAGAGAATTAACCGGAAGCTTTACTAGAATCTTTTCGACCAGATGGTGAGGTAATTCTATAGTTGGACTTGTGTTTTTCCCCTCTACTTCTTTCACACACGCCTCAAGTTTTAGTTTAGGGTTTCCTCTCTCTTGATCCTCCATTGATATCGTTTGTGTTTTGTGATGTTCTTGATGAGTATTTATGTTTGAGTTTATATACGTCATAATAGGAATAATGTTGACACGGAAACAAATAGGAACCTTATCTTATATGCATACTAGTGATTGCCCACGCATTGCATGAGATTTAAAGTTAACATGGTAAA